CCATAAGCTCCACTTAGGACCAATTAGAAAAAATGGCCACTTAGAACTGTTCTGTCTAGCTAGCCAAAATAGATGAATCAAAGCTGATCACCGAGCAGCACTTCCTGCACCTGTACAGGAGGTCACTGTGGTTTTCACCTTTATAAACTGGTCCTGAGAAATATTTGAGGTCACAGTTTAGCTCCTGAGTCTAGCCTGCATTCCTGATATATCAGTCTTGGGGTGTGCATTTAATAAGCAAGCCCTATTTAACTGAGATCAGTATCTGAGTGGTTTGTAAAGACATTCCCAGACCTCAGCAGTCCAGTACTGAGGAAGGAACCACAAAATTAGTGTAACACTATTGACTATAAAGCAAATAAGTAGGAAAGCAAAAGGAAAATATCTTCTCCAGTTCATGGTATCTATATGATGGTATAGTTATGCAGTCATCAAGAAGAAAAATCACTAACGCAGGGGTAAATGGTAACAATATCTGGGCATGTGAGGCATGAATTGAAATGGCAAAACTTCGGAATGACACCAAACTTTAGCAAATAGAGGCAAGATATACAAAAACATATAAAAATCATGGATTAATGGTCAAACTGGCATTGTGTTTAATTAAGACTAGAATATTAAAATTCATCAGAGAACAATTTCAGAATAAATCAGCAGTGATAGATTACATATTCAAAAGTCTTGAATGTTTACCCCTAACATTAAAAAAAAAGAGGAAATGGAGAACCAAATTAAACTAGGACAACCCTATGACAGTAACAATTATAAAAAAATCCATAGCCAGGCCTCGGTGGTTTGCATCTTTAATCCCAGCACTTGGTAGGCACATGCCTCGATCCCAACACTTGGCAAGCACATAAGAATTCCAATGATTTAAATTTAATAGTTGCTTACACCAATCCTTGACATTATTAATACTCTATTATACTTGCAGACAGAAGCCTAGTGTTAAGTTCCTCTGAGAGGCTCTATCCAACAGCAGACTTAAACAGATGTACATACCTGTAGCCAAACATTGGACAGATCTTGAGGACACTTATGGAAGAGCTGGGAGAAAGATTAAAGGCCCTGATGGGTAAGAAACCCCATAGGAAGACCAACAGAGTCCACTAACCTGGACTCCCCCTGGAAACTCTCAGATACTGAGGCAGCAACCAAAGAGCATCCACTGGCTTGACTGAGGACGTTTGTAGCAGACATGCAGCCCAGTCTCCATGGCTGCTTTGTCTGGCCTCAGTGGAAGAAAATATGCCTGTCTGGCAGAGACTTGATGTGCCAGCATGGGGGGGATACCCAGGGGGTCCCCACCCTCTCAAAGGAGAAGGGCCAGGGGGAGGAAATCTGTGAGGGAGGGACTGGGGGGAGCCCCATTTGGGATGTGAATTAATTAATTTAACAGCCATTTAAAACAGGCAGCCTGAAATTCAAAGTGAATGTAATTTGTGATCAAAAAATAAATACGCTTAAACTGAATTTATATATAAAGTGGAGTATGGGTCTATTTATCCATATGTACTAAGGTGGTAATACTTTTTTTTGTCAAAAAATCGTTTTGCCTAGGAAAGATTTAATCTACCAAAAAAAGGAACCCCCAGAGTTAGGGTTGGGGTGAAAAATAAGAGCATGCAACTAAGGAATCTGGAGACCATTCGGCAAACGAGACATCTGAAGAAAAAGGATGGATCATCAAGAGAAATGTCCCAAGTAAAAGAGGAAACTGGCCAAGTGGTATGGTCCACCTCCAGCTTGTCTCTGCTGCCCTCTCTGACAAAAGTGGAGTCTTTATGTGACCCCAATTCAATTAGAAATTAAAGATGGCATTGCGGGTGGAGCATGGTTCCTACTTCATGAAACCCACACATGCTTGTTAAAGAAAACCCAAAATCTCTGTCTCCTATCAGAAGAGCCAACTGGTGTGGGACAGAGGAAAACAAATAATAAGGGACTAGTCTATTGCCACTAATCCCATAATCTTTTGTTTTCCATTTGACTCTCTAAAACTTTTAAAGTATAAATATCTCAAAACCTGTAAGATTACTATGTATATATAAACTTTCTGCTGTGATATTAGTAGTCATACAGAATACTAATTCTAGAAATGAACTTCATCTCGCTTCCTGTACGTGTTTTCAGATTTGGGTCTGAAACAAAGTTAGTGTATGTAGGATGTACTTATTAGACTGAGGTCCTCAAACCGTTCTCAGATCTACTGAACATGGCATTTAAAATGTTTACGTTTGCTACCATTCCTAACAGTGACCTTTGAGTCTTCCAGAAGATGATAGGGCCCTGCAATGACTAATCCTCCGGGACTGTGGGAACTCTAACCACTGGAAAACTTGCTCCATGCCTCTTCTGCCACCAGGTTCTACACACACACACACACACACACACACACACACACACACACACACTCACAAAACCACCTTTGGGTTGACTGTTGTGTTCTATCTAGCCAGGACTGCCACCAAACTGACAAACACCATGAGAAGATCAGCTTTCAGACTACAAACTGCTCAGGACAAATTGCTGAATTCGTATGACACTGACATGAACTTTTCCAGTACTTTGAAAAACAAAATAACATAAATCCTCAAACTGCCAAATACAACCAAGCTGGACATTGTGAAAAGCTTGGTGGAAATACCTTCACTATTGTAAATAGTTTTACCGTGTTAGAGTTGAAATCTTTCCTTCTTACTTAAATAAAATGGGGTTGGGGGAGGATGTTTCAGGATATTTGATGACACTGTGAACCCTGGGAGAGTGTTGCTTACTGAAAAAAAACCTGTTTTTGGTTGTGGCAAGGCTCAGCCCTAGCACACACCTTCAATCTAAGAGTTCTGCTTATTGAAAACAAAATCAAATTAAGTCCACCATAGGTCAACAGATGGAGCAAGCAACCAGCTGACAGGGAGTGAATATAGAATAAAAACTATCAAGAGGAAGTCAGGAGGATGGACAGGAAGGAGAAGAGGAGGACATTCCATTTGCGTGTTTTCTTTCTTTCTTTCTTTCTTTCTTTCTTTCTCTCTCTCTTTCTTTCTTTTTTTTTTTGAGACAGAATGAAGGAGAGATTCCTTTTGGGACTTGGGCTGAGAAGGGAGGTCGGCTTTGTGATTTCTCTGTCTCTCTCTGAGCTAGCAGGCTTTCACCCCAGTATCTGGCTCTCCAGTCCTCATTGGTAAAATCAAATGGCTGAGATTTTGTTAAAAACAAGAGTTTATCCTTTTGCATAGGGAAGTCTTCTCAATAGCCTTCACAGAAGACATAGTCCTTTCTGTATTGTATGTTTTGGTTGATCAGTTGATCACACAAGTGTAGGCTTATTGCTGGGATCTCTACCCTGTGTGTATTGGGGGGGGGTCTATTTCATGATAACACAGTACTTGGATTATCAAAAGCTTTGTCTCTTAGCCAAATACTAACAGGCCCTTCTCAGCTTAGCTTCAGAGATCAGAGATCAGTTGTATTCACAGTAGTTTAATCTTAAATTGTAGATGACCAAAGCTTTGTAGCAAATATTTAAAACAGGCGATATGGCAGTTTGGCCTGTTTCTTTCTTAAGACTGCTTAAGCTATCTGGGCTGCTGTTGTTCTGTAACAATCTTAAGACTGTTTTCAATTTATGTGAAAAATAGAACTTAGAAATTTTTTATAGGGACCATACTGATTTTGTAGAACGCTTTGTATTGTTGGTAGTGAGGTAGTGTAGTGGTTAGGAAGTCCAAATCTGTGTATTTTTCCAATTAAGTAAACTCTTGCAATGAATCATGTTCCAACTTTACCTTTGTTTCCTAAGCAAACTTCAGTGTGTGTTTATCCTTAATTCTCTTGTGATTAAAATCTTTATCATATTTCTGTGAATGTATGTAACCTACTCCCTCAATTGCTACTTGGAAAATCTTGTGAATATGGATACAGAAATTAAACAACACTTATTATCCTGGTGCAATGTTCTTCCGTCATTTTAAGAGTAGAATATAAAGGTCTTATCATATAGCATTTTTAATTATTTAATTAAAGGATAATTACATAACTTACCATCACCTCCTCCTCCTCCTGTCTACATCCCCTTGGTCACCCCCTTCTTATAACCAGATTAATCTGTTGAATCCATGTGTGTGGCCTGGATACAATGTTCATAACTACAAACTGGATAATCAATCAGGGGGCTCAGCCCTGGGAAGCTAGTTCTCCCTCTCTTAGCAGTTGTTCATTGCTTGTAGCTCTTCATCTACAGATAGAGCCCTGTAAGATTTTCCATCTATGCTGGGATGTCAACTGTGTTGGAATTTTCCAGGTCTTGTTTAGGTATCCACGTTGTTAAGATTTCATATGGGGAGTTTCCCTGTCATAGCTAGAAGGCACATACTCACAGAAGACTTCCTGGTCCTCTGCGTTTGACAATCTTTCTGTCCTCCCTTCCATGATGTTCCCTGACACTTAGGTATAGGAGCCACTTTGTAGATATATCACTTGGGGCAGAGGAGCTCTCATGGCACCTTCTAGTATTAGAAAAGCTAATCTTCCTCTGGGAGGATTTGAGGTGAATTCTAGCTCGAAAGGTCCTAAAGTGCGTAGTGTCTTCAGCAACAGGGATTTACCTTCAACTTCTGGGACTAGTCTTATTCACAAGTTGTACTAAAAACTGTTAGAACGTGTTCTTTGTGTCAGGAAGCAGGATCCAGCCTGCCCAGCTTTGCCAGCAGCTCCGAGAAATGCCCTGGATGAGTCACTTAACTATCCTGGACACTCCTCACTTTTCCCAGTTGGAAGGAATTGTTCTCTTTTGTCCCGTGAAGCCCCAGGGCCACCTGCCTAAGTGGAGTAATCGGTGAAAACCTGTTCTCTATGACTTTGACTTCAAGTGCAGGGCATCCTCCCTGTGGGGCACCTCTCACTAGTCCGCTTGCACTAGGCATCTTAGGACAGTGTTGAATTGCATGGTGGAGATGCTGGTGACGATTGGAGAAGGAACGGAACGGAGGAGACACGGGTGCACTGTGCAATACACTTTTATTTTTCCTTTTACCTTTGCAGTCATCTTTGAGTAATTTGTGTAAACAATAGAATGGAATGGAATTACAATAAATTGTATGCAAATGGTTCTAGAACACCTTAACGATTATGACAAGGCAATTATAAATAACTTCTTTCCTTAGTAATATATATTTGCTTTTTAAAGTACATTAAAGAGCTGCCGTATCTAGGGTTAGCGAGGAAAGAGCAATGGTACCATCCCCGGAGTCCACCTTCGTGAAGGTTTTGACTCCAAATTTGAAAATCCTAAGGTTTACTAGGTTCATAATACATAGTCAAGCAGGAGGTTCTGGGGTTGGAAATATTTATTCTCGATCGTTTACAGCATTTTTACCTTTTGTCATTGCACAAAAACCCTTTCTGTTATTTTTCACACTCCCTGTATATTCTGTGGAGTTTTTAAGTAAAACTCGGATTCTGGTGTTGTCAAGTTTATCGCCTTCAAAACAACAAATCCTGTCGCCTAAGGGCAGCCGAATTGGAGACAGGGGATGTAGTTAGCAATCTAACAGAACGGCAGCGCGGTTACAGTATTCTAAATGTCCAGATGAAGCAAAAGTATGCCTCCTCATGTAGTGCAGGCTTGAGATCTGAGACTAGTCCAGAGTTAAGCAGCCTCAGGCACATTCGTAATATGAAAGTTTGCAAGGCACCTCCCTCTCCCAAGAGACGACTGGATTGTGGACTAGATTTTAGGCAAACCAACCAAAAGAGCAAGCATCCAAATTCTTAATTCAGTCATTTCAAAAATTAGAAGCTACAAATACTCCAAAGATTGACCTGAAACCGTCTGTTTAAATAACAAGAGATCAACTGCAGAAAGCATATAATCAAAACTTTTCCCTCATAGCTAAGGTGTGTAAAGCATAAATATATGAAAAATAAAATTCACAGTCAAGTTTTAAAACTAGAATTCAAGTTTGGCTAATAAATCTTAATTTTATAAGTATATTAATTTCTAAGTACAACATAAAAGAGGCAGTATTGTCAGATGTACAATTAAAGTATTAAACAGAAATACAACAGGAAAAGGAGAAAAGGCTTCTGGTAGAAGATTCCTTTTGTTGCCAAGAGATAGGACCACCTGAGTGTGTTTCCGACTCCTCACTTACGGGCTATCCAAATTGACCGCTAAGAATAGTAAATCGCTCTCTGGAAAGGAATCAGCAACAGTTGCGCGGCTGTAGCACTTGCCTGTGCTCGTACTGTGGATTGCTGGAGAATAAAGCAGAACTCGGAGTGCTCAGAGTTTTTTAAAAATTATTATTTTTTTATCCCACTTCATCGAAGCCAGCCTCTTCACAATCTTCTTATTTGTTGGGATTTGGGAGTGAGGGGGTGAGAGGAAGGAGGCAAAGAGGGGGCTGGAAGAGAGAAGGGGCACGACAGATGAGGGTGACAGCAAGGGACATACATCAGCTCACACTCAACTGGGCAAACCCGATCAGCTTCACTTCATCAGGAATCTCCGCCCCATCACAGCCGGAAGCCTGGAAGGGAAAAAGAAACTGTCAGTGCTGGTTTTAGAGCTGTGTATGTGGGAGGGCAGATCCACTGCAGGTCACTGGCTCCTCTTCATGGAGAAGGCCCAAGAACCACATCAGTGAATGAATGATTGCTGGGTGCCAGATGCTGTTAGAAAAGTAGTCCTGGTGTGTCAGAGGATATTTTGTGCACCATGTATTCAGATGCTGATTTGTATGCCCAGATCTCTGTCTACCGTACAGACTATGGCATAGTCTGAATGTTATGTTACAATTGTTTTCCATCAACTCTGATTGGTTAATAAAAGAGCTGATCAGCCAATTAGCTGGGCACAAGAGATAGGGAGGGGCTTGCGATCCCAGCCATGGGGACCCAAATGGGAGAGGGTAGAAAGGGACCACAAGGAGAAAGAGGTGTGGAAAAACCACATGGAGGATTTGCCATGAGATCACAATCAGAGAGCAGCCACAGAACACATATGGACCAGTGCCAACCAGGGCAAGCCCAGAAGATGCAAGTAACAGAGCATTTAGCTGGGTAGTAGCCGCCTAGTCGGGTTAGAATAAATCAGAATCTGCCCAGTTACTAATGTTTGAAGTTTATTAGTATAAATACCAGGTCTCTGTGTCTTTATTCCAGAGCTAAAATGGGCTAGGGTGGGTGTAGAAATACCCTGAAGTTATTGGGAGCAAAAAAACGGGCACAGAGGATCCCTACAAAATACTTTTACACTGGTGGCTTCAACCAGCAGAGGTGTGGCGAGATCTACTACCCATTCTAACAGTACCATGCCCACCTAGGCTTACAAATGAAATGCATATTCTACCTGTCTCTGTGTCCTCAGTGGGAAGACTTAGGTACCTGGGAACATGCCTTTAAAAAGGGAAAGTGGGATTCCAGATCACGTCTCCCTGCCATTGGTTTCCCGGCCATATGTTCAGTGTTTCTGTTCTGCCATGTAATCTCGTGCATTCCCCTGTATTCCCACTACGATTCCTACCACAGGCCCAGATCAGTGAATCGGACTGACGAATCATGGACCAAAACCTTCAAAACTGTTAGCCAAAATAGGCATTTTCTTTTTATAAGCTCATTATCTTTAGTAATTTTGTTTCATCAAAAGATAGATAACACAGTATTGTAACAGAATTCTTTCCTTTGACAAAATTTTATTCATACTATTTTAACACACACTTTTTTTTTTTTTACCTAAAATTAGCCCAAATCACAGTGTATCAAAACTTTTATTACTCTCATCACTTCAAGATCAGAGGATACTGGAATAAGCCCCTGCTTTCTGCGATGGCATCACTGACCCTGATTCGCTATTTTCGTCCCCATTCATTTCTTTTATTCATATAAGTATGTGCACAGGTACAAACACACACTCACACTCAGACACACACAAACACACACTCACACTCACACACACACAGTTGGGGGAGATCATTATTTTAAGGTTTTTCTTCACCTTATAACACACTGATCAGAACTGGAGATTGCAGAAACGCTAAGGGTGCTGGTGGCGGCGAGTGATTAAATTTCAAAGGGCCACATAAAAATGTCTAGTCTCAATTCATGCTAAATTATGTCCTCGAACTCCTCTGCAAACACCACCCTTCACCTGATAAGTGTGGCTTCGTATGTGCAATGTTCCAACAACAGTGTATGAAACCTGGCTGTATCAAATGCAGCATTTCCCTTAAGTATGAATATAGTTAAAAGATGCTTTAAAATTTTAAAGACATTTTAGTAACGACCTCTAAAATGACACTCGGAGTAAATTATGATGGTGTCAAATCAGTGTCCTGAAGGTGGGTAAAATCAGGCAGTGTTTACAGCAAAGAATCAACGTTGTGCCTGTCCACTGATGACACTGATAGCTTTCTTTGACAGTTAAGCAGCTCAGTGAAGAATTTTCAGTCTCTGCTTCCCCTCAGTTCCAACAAGGAAACCCAGCAGAGCAGGCATTTCATCAGACGATTCCTAGTAGTGTCTGTCACACCAGTGCTAAAACACTCCCAACCTGTACTTTCCTTTTCCTCTACAGCAGTCCCTTCTCCTGTCCTGACACCTTCCCTCTTCCACTTTGCGAGACTCTCCTTAATTTCACTGACTGGTAGCAGAAACCATGGGCTTGGTAGGCAGGTGAGGGACAGCAGCTGAGGACATGCTACTACCACAGCTACTGACAAAATGTTCCCACTGGCCAATGTGGAAGCTCATCACGAGATTCAAAGCTACTTCAGAGATAGGAGAAAAAAAACACCACAATTTGTTGAAACGAGTAAGGATAAAACCAAACTATCTACACTGGTTAAGCTGACTTGAAGCAAAACAGAACTAGGAGCTCCTTCTTCTAGAGCAACAGTTCAGTAACAGGCCCTTGGTTATCCTAGGAACACAAAGGAAGATTCCCCTGAGTTCCCATGCTGTGCCCTGGTACCCAGCAAGCAGGTGTGCTTATTTCCCGAACGGCCTTTCCTTGGTTGTCTCTAAGACGCTGGCATCTTCCATGCAGCCTGATGGCCCTGCTCCATGCTGTGTTCAGCTTCTCTCTTTCTCAATCCACAAATCACCCAGGAGACCATGAACACATGATGTCGTCACTCAGAGTCAAGGGACTAAGACTCTGGCAAGAAAGTGTTCAAACCTTTAGGGCTTAGAGTGACTATTTACTGTTAAAAAAAGATTAAAGATTCCAAATAATTATGTTTATGTGGGTCACATTCATTGTACTGACTGTCTTGAAAACTAAAACTGAGAAAACAAGTATCGTCTGAGGCTATGTCTCAGTAGTATCTTGCATATTTATCATGCATGAGGCTCTGGGTTAGGGTCCCAGTACTCCCCTAATGTAAAAAAAAAAAACCCAAAAACCTTACATTAAAAACATGTTTGTGTAGGATGTACTTATTATACTACCTTAGAAATTAAAGCATGTGGTTTTAAAATATTTGTTTACTGATTCATTAAGTCTAATAATGAACTCACTCCGTGTTACCACAAATAAAAATCTTCATGGAAAATAACACATCTCTCCATCACCTGCCACAAAGAGTCAGCAGCAACAACAGCAACCCTTGAAACGATTGATGCCACTTACTTCTTTAACGTTTTGGCTTAGTGATGGCAGCTGGATTCTCATACATATATCTGCATTTACTCTGCTACATTATGCCTCTTCCTCTGAAGTACGTGAAGACAAACCCAGCCTCGCACAAATACATATTTAGAAAAGGGGGGCGTTTTTAGAAGCTTTTCCAAATATCATTTTCTACAGTGCCAAAACTTTCCCCGTGGTGATTCTGAAAGGTTAGCTGTAGCGTGGAATCTGAAACAAGAGCGCTGAACTTTCTGTGCTCCGTTCCATTAAAGTCCATTGGTCCTCTCTGCCCTTTGAGAGGATCTTTACCTGGTATGATTTTTAAGCACCGTCGAGTTTTATAGATCTTCTAAAGGTTATTTCATTACAGAATATGAATGCTAGACAGTGTAAACAAATCGTATTCATTAATATGGTCCATCAGCAGTCTCATCGGACCATCATCTCAGTACTGGGAGGCTGTCACATGACAGCAAAGAGAAGCTTTCCAAAATCCCATTTTCATTTGAAAATTCCAATTTATTACCGACAACAAATACTGTCAGGTTTTAAAGTGCTGTTTGCTACATAGCTGAATCTGATAACAATAGTTTGTCAGTTTTTCTTAGTAAGGTGGTTTCCTGTGGAAGGGGAAAGGAGGGTAAAGAGAATCTTAGCTGACTATCTGCTATTCATGGGGGCTTTCCCTGAAGCCCCTCACTGTACTTCTGTTGCATTCCAAAGGAAAGATCGATCCCCATTTTATTACCCAGAGTACTAAATGGGCATGTCTTCAAGTTGAAATTAATAAAACCAGAAGTGTTCCCTGCCTCATTAGGAACAGTTTTAAATGAAGCTGCCTTGACTGTTTACAGGGATGAGGTATAACTAGGAATATGGACTGAAGCTGCTGCCTTGATTTATGGCAACACTGTGAGATTTACCCACCATGACCTTTGTACCAAGATCAACAACGGGGAAAAGGCAATATAACTCCGTCTTAGCAGCACTTGAAATGTTATGACATAGAGAATCCTCTAAAAGGGTTGCAGGGAACCTCAGAGGCCCGTGACCTACCTACGCACTGAATATCTTGGCTTCAAAATGAAGTTTAAAGACCAGACAAATGAGATTCTAGAAAATTAATTTGTGCACAGCAAGCAATTACCAGAGTGAAGAGACAGCACTCAGAATAAGAATAAAATCAAACTTTGCAATTATGTATCAGACAAGGATTCATTCATTGAAGAATATACAAGCAACTGTGAAAGTTAAATAACAAAATCCCAAATCACTCAATCAATAAATGCTTAATGAACTGAAAAGATAGTTTTCAAAAGAAGAAATTCTAACAGTCAATCAATATCTGAAAAGGTGTTCAACATCCGTGGCCACTAAGGAAATGCTAACTAAAACTCTGAGGTTTTATCTTACCACAGTCAGAACGGCCATCATTAGGGAAACAAACACCGATAAATGTGGGCAAGGATACGGGGACGAACAACACTTAAGCACTGGAATGAAAACGTGTACAGTCACCATAGACACCAGTATAGACGTCTTTGTCTTTCCACTGCTGTGACAAAACACCATGAGCAAGCCAACTTAATTTAAAAAAAAAAGTGTTTAACAAGGCTTGCAGTTTTAGATGATTAGAGTCCGTAATGTAGGAACAGCTGAGAGCTCACATCTTGGTCAGCAATCAAGGAGCAGAGAAATAGACTAGAAATTGTGGGACACTTGAAGTTCAACCCCATGACATACTTCCACCAAAAAGGCTACACTACTTAATCTTTACCAAATAGTGCTACCAACTGGGGACCAAGTTATTCAAACACACGCACCTTAGAATTACTGTATGACCCCGGTTTAGTACTCCTCAGTAGATACCAAAGACTGGAAGTCAACATACTGCAGAGATACTTGCACGTCCATGTTCACCAATGCTTTCTTCATAACACACACACACACACACACACACACAAAGTCAACAAGGAAAAAATCAACTGAATGAAACAATGAAATCAATATAAGATAGCTAGATGAATGTCAATAAAGAGAGTAAAAGCTGAACTACTGGGAAAGCAGAGTCCAGTAAGTCAAAATGAAAATCTCAGTGGAGAACGTACCAATGGAATGGACCAATAAGGCAGAATGCTGGGGCTTGGTGACAACGTAGAGCAGTTGAGAGTATTTGTACACTGCCGAGTATAACTTAGTAATAAAGCAAGAGCAGAACATGTGAGATCGGCATCCCTACGCGCAGCTCCACCACTGATTAGTCCTGCCATGCCCCTTGCCTTGTCACATTTTTTTTGTTTACTTCTCTTGCTTTTTGTCCAAGTTTTGTCAAACTCTAATGGCTACTTTGGGTATTCATTTCCTGGATTTGTATGCCTTTCTCTTTTATCTCATTATACATTGATTTAATTATTTCTCTCTTCCTCCTTAAAAACAAAACAAAAACAAAAAAGTCTTGTTATGTACCCCACTCCTGACCTTAACCTCACAGTTCCCCTGACTGCCTCTCAAGCTCTGAAATTATAAGCATATGCCATCATACTCGTGGCCTGTCAATTTAATTCTCAGGATTAACCAGAATTAGAAGGAAGTCATAAATTTGGGCTCCCATACAAAGGAAAACTATTCACACTCCCAGGGACATGCTTAGCAGTGCAGAACAGCATGAGTCTAACCACTCAAACCTAGAATGGGATTCCTAAAACTCCCTCCCTAACTCTTCCTTGCAGGCTGCAGAAACTGCCTGTGCCTGTGCCTGTGCAGGCGCTGAAGATAGTTCAGCACCAACCTTCTAACCAAAAGGTGGATATGTTTCAGAATCAGTGGGAGAGCTTGAAAACATACCAAAGCCCGTGAGCTTGTTCCACGGTGATGATTCAGCTGGCTTGGGTATAGCCTGGGGATCCTCTGAGCTCCCCAGGAAATTACAAGAAATCATGGAGTTTGAGAATCATAGTTTACTCCAGTGCTCCTTGGAGTGTGAACCCCATATTACCTATGAAGCTTTAGTCCTTAAACTTCAGGCTCAGAACTTCCAGTTCTCACTTAAATAGTTAAGTAGACCCCTGTGACTCAGGTCTCATCTATGCCAGCACCCTGGGCCTGAAATAGGGCCTTGGCATTTCCATTTTACCAGGTTTCTGGCCAACTCTGTGGTCTCCATCCCACATTTGGACAATCTTCTGACAGAACAAGAAGTGGGGACAGCCACATGGTCCTTCTGAACAGGCTGAGAGCCTTACATCTCACCCTTGTCCCCCTGCAATAAGGGCAAAAACTCAAAGTTCTCAAGTGGTTTTGTCTGTTTTGACTTTACCCACGTTTCAGGAAAAGATGTGGTCTAGTCAAGCAGCCCCCAAGCAGATCTCAGCAAAACTCCCTCAGCTTTCAATCATTGACACCCTTATGAAATCTCTATCTGTGGCGTGCATAATGCCATTCCATTTCGGCAACTAAAATCTATAATGCTCCTGCAAATGGGTGCCAACTGGATGTTAATTAGATTCACTCCCATTCATTTTTTTTTTCAAAAGCAAAGTAAATATATCTTATTTCACATTTTCACTAGTGCAATTTTTAAAATTCTACATTGAAAGTAACAAAAATCACCTACATTACAAAACTGCAGGGTGAGTAATTTAAAGAATAACAATTCCAAAGCAGTACCACTGTGTCAAGCTCAAGCCACGGGATACTGAAGCTGAAATGGCCCCGTGGCGGAGGCACTTTGTTAAAAGCAGAGAAGCAGATCCCCGGCCATGGTCATAGCAACAGGGAAACCATACTTGTCAAAGAAGGCTAAAGATCTTCCTGGGCAATGGTAAAAACAAACTCTGTGTGTGTGTGTGGGGGGGGAGGTATGCCAGAGATTTACTTTGGGTAATATGTGAGTATGTATGTGAATATATTCCTACACACGCACGCACGCACGCACATACGCACACAAAATAAGAGTCTTACTATAGCCCTGTGTGGCTTTCAACTCACAGGAAGTTTGCATTCCTCTACCTCCTGAGTGCTGGGATAAAGTGCTGGGCCCTTTGTACTATTGGTTTCATAACTGATCAACTATGTAAGGGAAGGACACAGGTGAAATGACTGGTGGTGGTGATGAAATGGCAAGTGATCGATCTACAGGAAGAATGCTTCCAGCTAAGGCATCACTAAGGGGGTGCCCTCAAAGTTCTAAAAGCCCAGACTGCACAAGCCATTAAAGTGGAGAGCCTGGCCAATGGCCTGGGCATAAGGGATTTTTAGAAGTCCCCCTGGAGTCCCAGGAGTGAGGCAATAGTTCAGCAAGGTAAAGAAACACAGTAGTAAGACCTCCCTGTTCTCCAGGCGATTTCCAGACCCCTGATGTTCTCCTTGAGATTAGAAACATGATAAACAGCTGAGAGATGAAAGGACCTTGAACCACAGCAACAGCTTGTGAGGAGTACCATTGCTGGAACGCTTTGATCTTTTATTCTTCAAATAAAATAACCAAGATGATGAATGAAAACTAATGCATCAGAATCTTTGAGTTTTAGCTGGCTGCCCATGGCTCAAATTAGCTGTATGGAGTGGGTCTCAACCTGGCTGGCTGCTGATAACAACTAAGAAACCTCTCAGACTTTACCAGGAGCTGGACAGACAGGAAAAGAAGGTCATTCTTAAGATTGGTTTTATTTAACATTTCTAACTCCTAGTATTTGGAAGAAACACCATCAACATCCATTTCTTGAGAACACCCACACAGCTACCTGTCCAGTTAAGGCAGAAAAACATACGGATGGATTTGCTTCCAGAATTCTTCTGCACTAGGCAGCACTGCCCACTGGTTAAGGTTTGGAGGAAACCAAGTCTCAAGCAAAGTAACTACGTCCAGACATAGAAAAGAAGACGCCCGACGAATCTAAGAAAGCATGGACTTGGGGGCCGCCCCGAAAGACAACACGGTGCTGTGGGCATGGGCTCTGAGCTGGACCAGAGCTGAATCTGTAGCATCTACTGTGTAATCTTGGACATCAACTTGGCCTCATGTTTGAAAACAAGTGATTTATTCTTCCTTAATACCCTGCTTGTGAGGGTTTCTTGGAAAACCATCCATCTTGATGAACTGGACTTTAAACCCCTGCTTCACTGTTTCTCCAGGATGCTCGCTGCTCTTTCTCCCATACTTAGATTTAAAATATGCTAGGTGCATAAAATCTGTCAGAACATCTATCCTCTACAACAGTATGGTGGCATGGATTCAGAGTAGGGGATGCAATGCTATGTCTTTGTTCACCAGCCTTTGGTGAGCTGTTCTGTGGTCGTCTCCAATTACCGGAACCATTTACACAACTATCGGCCTCTATTTTTAAAAGCTGCAACCACCTGACTTCCTCTGAGGAAAGCTTTAGTAAGAGTGCTGCTTTGAATTAAGTTTAACGTTGTCTGTACGGTCAAGGGGCAAAGGAAAGGCGTTCTGGAGGGGAAAAAATTGGTACCCAGAGCTTTGAGGGTCTCAAAGGGCCATTCACAGTCAAACTTCTGATGAGGAAAGAACGGTCTACATTCACAAAGGCAAGAGTTTCCAGCCATGATCAGAAACAAAGCTCCCAGTGTGGCAGAGGCAACTACTGAGTGCAAAATGCGACTCTCCCCATCCGACAACAACAACATGCTGAGTGTGCAAAGATGTGATTCCCTCCCTCCTGGTGCTGGTCCAACAGAAACGTGACGTCCACTTCCACCTTCCCACTTACCAACTTAAATGTCAACGTTTTTAAAGCTTTGGGGTCATCTACAATCTTCTGTAAATTAGCAGCCACTGTAAAATACAAACACAGAGACACAGTGTCCAAGTTATTTCCAATAACTCTGGATTTTCACATCAATGATTCGGAAAATTTGACTAATGATGCAATAAACCGCAAAATCATTTCTTTCACAGACATTACAAAGTCCATATAAATGACCAAATTACTTTCATACAGATACTCTCTAAAGCCATTTACATCATTTCTGTCACCTCCTCTCTGTGTGCATCTGGATTAATCACTGTACATCAACCCTGCATTTCCTATAATAAAATTTGAAATTACTTTCTAATGAAAAGTAGAAATGACCGCAGCTCCAGAGTCTCAACTCGTTGGTTTTTCTAAAACTCATTACTATGAAAATTATTAGCCAGGAGGGGGCAGTGTGCAAGAGGAGAGGGGCTGTTACAGACTTCTCTGCGAAATGACCAGTCAGCACTTTGGAACTCTTGGCTTGTAAATCCGCTCCGTTCTCTGTACCCACATATATCAACGCGAAACAATACAGTAGACAACCCTCACATTTCAGGCAAGCCGGCATGCTCTCAGAGCACGGTGACCCATCTCTATGGTGATGTGCCACCTTGACCAGCACCTGAGGCAGAGTGTCAGGGTCATGCACGGAGACCGTCAGTGCACAGCTCAGCACTGAAGATCTAGGCTCAGCACTGAAGATCTAGGCTCAGTGTCTGCTGATTCATAGAGGTTGGCCCTGGTCTCTGTGGAGTTCTGGCATCTGCATCAAGCAGTAGTACAGAAGGCCAAGTTTTCCCATTTGCCCACCTACCTTGAAGTACTACTTAAGAGCAGAATTATCAAAAAGCAAAGAGGATGAACACTGAACGCTACCCTTTTCACATCTAGACCTCAAGATCGAACAACTGAGAGTCAAGTTGGAGCCACTCCAAAGAGGTTTCCCAGAACAAAACCAAGAGCAATGGGGAACTCTGTCATTTTTATGTCATAAGAAAAACTAACTGCTGGTTCAGCAGCTAAATATTATTTTTTTCTGAATTTCTGAGATCCAAAACTTTGAGAAGATGATATAATACTTCTGTATACTCTAAGTTTCAAATAGAAAGCAGAAGGAAATCTATGAAAAATTTGGGGTTTTGTTTTTTTTATGATTGACAGGAATCATCTTAGATATAAGAACTTTCTACAGATTTAGTTCATTTTATCTGTTAGACACAGAGGAGGGCAAAATAAAAATTACAAACTTGATATGGCCTATAAATTCTCTTTATAAATCACAATTATAAGCATATGGCTTTATTTGCATTTATTGCTCTCTCACTAGCTCCATTCTGAATAATCTGAAGGGTTTCATTTTTACCCATGCCCACTCCCTTCTAATCTCCTTCTCTTTTCTTCTTGTGTTAGCACAGGCAATTGGACACAAGTACATACCTACTGAGCTGAGCGCCAGCCACCGACACCCAAGAGGCTGGCTTTACTAAATAGATTCTAGATACTAAAATCATCAGTAATTTGTGTTGGAAACTCTGGCTCACAGAGTGAAATTTCTAGCTATGAAATACCGTCTACCAAAGAAAGCCACTATTTACAGTGTCAGGACACTCTGACTGTACACAAATTGCAGCAAGGGAGGATGGTGCCTTCGTTCTTAAGACATAAAAACATTCTAATAGCCCCTCTGATTTTGGCTGATTTCACGAGTGGCTGTAAAGTCTTCACATGAATTTTAGTCCCTTCATTAGGCTCCCTTGGCTAATGTGCGTGATTTACTGCCTTGTTCTGGGTCATCTATTTCTGGGTTGCTCTCTAACATTCAGCCAAAAGCACTGCTCTGTCCTGCACTAATTCACAGCCCTCTGGTGTACAAACATGTGCAGGAGGGCGAACTTTCAGGGAAGTGCCTAGCAGTTTGTATGTGGACTCAAAAGCAGGCATGGCTGCTAGCACTTTAAACAATCACCCCAGGACCCAGGCTCCCCAAGTGTGAGTCCCATACCTCTGGGACATTAGAAATTCAAATTCTGTCTTTAGCTCAGAGCAAAAATAGCAAAGCTGGCCACTTACCTGATTACTTAACCCAGCTGCTAGGCTTATTTTCAATTTAGTTGATTCTAATTTGTTGTAAAGTGCTATAAAACACCTTCATTTAACTGACATCACAGAAAATTCAGGGTGATGCTAATCTCTCTTCCAGCAGCAATGCTCATTAAAAAGATGGGTGTCACTGTTTTCTCCCTTCTCCTGACTGTGCACCTGGATCTCAAAAATAAAAAAACATTCCTTACCTGGAACGTGAGCAGAGAAGGAACTGCTGGGTAAGGCTGCCTGTGACTCTGAAGAACAGTAAGCCCGCTGTTTTAAGAGACACCATCGTTTGGAAATACTGACTTCTGAAACTCATTTCCTCAGTGGCCAAGAACTAAACTTCACTAAACTTAGACTTCCTCAGCTAAAATGCAGGTCTTTGGCTTTGGTGCACACTATTCTGTCCTTTGAGCTTGCCTCCCCATCCCTCCTGGACTACTGAGTTTCGTCCTAAGAACTTTTCTCTTTGGAGAAACGGGGCCACGCAGAGGCCCACAGGACTGTACCTCTTAAGTCTCCTTTGCTGTTTTCTCTTGCTTCACACTTTAGGCTTGGAGGTCCTTCAGGGATAAGTTTGTATGTACATTTCTTTATAGAAAGTTATAGCAAGCACCTTGATTTATGGAACTGTAATAACATCATTAATAGCCCCCATGTAAGCCGTGCTATTACCTTCCTGGGTCTAAACAGAGAAAGAAATAGTATTGTCAAGGCAGTCAGTCAGTATCTGGGTGGCCAAATACACACTTCTTTGGCAAGTGAAGCCAGGCCTTCTCCAGACAGTTCAATTCTCCGAATTTTCATAGTTACAGAAGTAACGATGACTTAAGGATTATTTATAGTCTGTGATTACATTATGAGCAATTAGTCCAAAGGTGCACTTCTCTCCCAGGACACGGGTCTATTTCATAACAGTCTCATAAAATGCTGATGCTCCTGAGTTAATTTAATTTGACCTAGTACCAAGCAAAAGTTCACTGAGTCTGAGGATGGCCGTGAGTAAGACTTGGAGATAAGACAAGCAAGACTTGGGGACACAAGTCAAGGTGATGACTTCAGTCTGATGATTTATTCAAGAGATATCTGCACCTCTGATCTCACACTGAGCTGATGTGGAAAACTAGCAAGAAATGCCAAAGGCAGGCAGATAACCCCAGATCCAAGGAGAAAGAGAGATAAAGGTGGGTCAGACATGTGTCACTCTAAATCTGATGTGAAACAATGGCCACTTACATTCCAGATCAGCATGGAGTCCAAGACTTTTCTGAGTACTTGCCTTACGACTCCAGGTTCCTGACTTCATGGGGTGATGTACCACGTAAGTACAGTATGTACACACTGGAATTCCCTGGCTAGCACATCTGGGTTCAAATCCCGCCTCTTGCTTGGAGCTGGTGACCTCTCTGAATTGGACTAAGTCGTTTCTGCCTCTGTGTGCTTGAGTGCTTCTGGGAATTCACAGTGCTCACACATTTGTGCCTTGTGCTCTGGGCAGCTGTAGTACCTTAGCTGTCTCCTCTCCTGTCTTTATTGCTCATAGCGTCTTTTTCACGCTCATTATTATGTGAGAGCCTGGGTCACGAATGGGGATGTGCTGGCTCCTTGGATATTGCCATCTCCATGGAGTCTAGATACTTACTGAAATCTAACTTCTACTTATCTTTCTAGCACTTCTTTTGGTATTTTCTATTCTGAATCTTGCCAGGAATGGTTCCCTAACTCCATTCTCCTCTAGCCGTGTCTTTACCACTGGCTCTTAATGAAATCACCTGCCTCAGTCTAATGTCCTTGCTAGACTGATTCTGCTTGTATTCTTAAAGTGCATCTGTACAGAGAGAGTACAGTGAGTTCTCACCAGCACCACTGCTGCAGACCACATGAGACTGTGGTTATCTATCTCTGCTCACCATCTGCATGATAGCTGATGGTCTCTCTGCTTCCAGCCTTGGTCCCAGAAGGCAGCCTCTGCCAGTAGTTGGCTATGACTGTTACCATGCACCTATTAGTGTCACTTTTATGTTTAAAATTCTTTTACGGCTTTCTAGATCAGGATACAAGCCATGGCCCCTACAACATCTATACAGCCGTCCAGACTAAGCCCCCAGCTCTACCCCGACCTCATCTCCCACTGTTCTCTCCTCTCTGGGCCTGCTCTAGTCACAACAGCCTCCATATTGGCTTCAAGCATTCAGAGGTTTCTACCATGAACCCCTGAACCTGATGCTGCCTCTACCCCAAGGAAAAGGCCTCCTCCAGGGTGGCTGCTGTTGCTGCTTTTGCTGCCTCCTCCTCCTCCTCCTCCTCCTCCTCCTCCTCCTCCTCCTCCTCCTCCTCTTCATCTTCTAAGTGTTTGGGGTTTGGTTTCATTTTGAGGGTTGTTTTGTTTTGTTTTTGACACAGACAGGGTTTCTCTGTGTAGCCCTGGCTGCCCTGGAACTCACTCT